ACAGCTGCTAACGTGAGAGGAGCCGAGAAGGAGCCTGAAGGAGGTCTGATGGAGGCCCGCAACTCCTCTTTAATCCTTCTGTCTCAGAGCGGAGCTTTGCTTTGTGCGCAGCTCTTGGCTGCATTAAAAAAGAAAACGGGTTCAAACAAATTTCACACTTTCTGTAAAGTTTCTGGTCAGAGGAAGCTGCGCACATGAAGCTAAAGCTGGAATTGTTGATCCAAAACGGATTCAAACGCTTCTAAGTAAATCAATGTTTTTATTCTAATAATGAAAACTCCTAAAGGGTTTTGAATACTGCTCGGCCGCCTACCTGACCTACATCCTCTGCTCGGATACACACACTCACACATACGCATACACACACACACTCACACATACAAACACACACGGAAAACATTAACCTAATTACCAGCTTTAATTGATTTCTATGATTTTTCGGAGCGTCGCTTTAACCTACATTATACACTTATTTTGTATTAAAATAAACTTTTGATCGGAGATTAAAAGTTAAATAAAATATTTTTGTCTGTTTAAGTAACTCAAAAACTGTTAACGGGTGTAATCTGAGCAACGTTAAAGATTCAGTAGCTAAAATAAAATAAAATGTAATATATGTGATTTAAATAAATAAATGTAGCTAAACATATGAGTCAGAATCCATATGGATTAGGAATGATTATTTCCTGTTTGGAGATGAAAACAATAAAAAGTAATTTTAAAATAAAGTTAAAAAATACTTTTTTCAGATATTCGACCATCACTTATTATTATTATTATTATTATTATTATTATTATTATTATTATTATTATTATTATTATTATCGATTAGATCTTTTTACCTTCTTCAAGTTGTGTTTTCATCTGCTACATTTATCAGTAATAACAATAATTATAAAATTTAAATTGAAGCAACCGCTAAAATACAGAAATCAGGTTTCAAACATTTTGCAATCGAAAAACTATTTTAAATCCTAATGAAATAAATGACGAAAATGAAAAAAAGTGGGAAATCGATGCCGAATAAAGCTGTGAAGACTCGGTCATACCGAAGATGCGGGAGGATGAAGAAGGTGACGGGGTGGGAGACTAGGGAGGGATGTGTGACGTCACGTTGGGGCTGTGCAGTAGAGAGCCAAAGAAGAAAACCAAGGCAACAACTCGGAGCTAACCAAAGCGCCGATCACCGAGGACGCAGCGTTTACGCACAGGCAACGCTAAACTGGATTTACTGGGACACCTGCATGGGACACCGTGAGGCGTTTTTACGTTTACTCTTTCGTCTGCTGGGAAACAACTGGTGAGAAAAACACGTGCGTGTGATTTTAGGCGATTGGAGACTTAACAGCTCAATTAGTAGCGTTTTTACGCACCGGGCTCACGAAGAGCTATAAATGCGACAATTCATGCCGCTGTGATCAGTGTAAACTGCGCGTGTTCCTATCTGGTTGGAGGTCAAAGAGGCAGGAGAGGATTAAGCTAAAATAACCGTTTTATAGAGAACACGCATCTGCGTTCAGATCAGCGCTGGTGATGGGAGATAGAGAGGACACGAACAGCAAATATATTCCTGCATCTGTGGATGCGCGTGCGTGCGTGCATATGTGTGTGTGGTGTCAGGGGCGAAAATAAACTGTCTCTAGGTCAGTGATGTTACTGTTGGGCCCAAAACACGAGATGAATTAATGAATGAATGAATGAATGATAGAAAAGCATTCAGTGGCAGGCTGTCAGGTGGAGCTGCTGCTCTGTAAATATTGGCTGATTTTCGCTTGGTTCCTTCAAAGTTGTTCTTTCACATTTCCTTGTAAAACCATGTTTGAGGATTGGAAAAATGACAAGAAATCAGCAGTGATACACCAGCGTGTTGGTTCAACTTAAAATGACATTAATAAATAAAGTTAATATGTTTTGTCCTCTGGTTTTGTTTTTCAGGTAACTGGAATGGAACTGAATTTGTCCAAGAATGTGATTTCCTGTGGGGACCCAGGTAAGAGGATGCTGCAGGTTTAAAATGTTTGTGAATTAGAGATTTCTCCATCTTTTACGCTCAAAAAGCTGCTTTGCTCAGGGAGCTATGAAATGTGGAACTGGGAGATGCAAATTAATTTTCTGTCCGGTTTTTTTAAAAAACGAGAAAAAATACCCTCTTTTGGAATTATCTAGGAACTGTTTTATGTAAACATTGTCTTTAATTAAAATATTTTCAACTAACCAAACTTTAAGATTTCAGAGTTTAACAAAAACAATTAAAGATTAAAAAAACATTAACAAATGTAAACTCGTGCGCAATTTAAGAGGGTTTGGACATTTAAATTGTGTAATACGCTGGTATATTTTGTCAGTTTAGAAAAAAAATTCTAAAAAATGCAACAGTGCGTAAAATTGGAGTTGTCACCAAGAGAAGTACAGTTATTTTATTTTAATCATGATTGTAGAAACTTTAGAGAACGTTTAAATGATTTATAAGTAATTTATTGGGTTCATTGGGAATGCTGACATGTTTTTCTAAATTGAGAATGAGTTTTGCCAATTAGCAGCTGTTTTAATTACTCAGACTGTCTCTTTGTGGGTTTAGGCTGGTAGTCACACTGCGGGTCAAACAGGCCTTTTAGACCCGAGCAGGGAAAACATCACCAAGGCAATAATCTACTCTGTCCTTCTCCAGTTACGCACCGTCTCCAGTTACATCTCCGCTGCCTTCCAGTTTTTTGCTGCTTTGTTTTCTCTTGCGCGCTCCCCTTTGCTGTGCGGAGAAATAAAACACAAATACTGTAATTTTATGTGATGAACAGCGTTCGCAGGGTTTATTTTGACTTCTTAGAGAGAAAAACATGAGTGTTTGCGCTGTCGCTGGCCTTTAACCTGTCCTGCCGGATGGAAAGACTTTTTAACTCATCCATCACACGCAAGTGCCCTCCAGAACGGAGAAGGACGCGGGCAGGGATGGAGGCTGGGTATTTAGATTAACACCATTTATCACACAGCCGTATGAGGCTCAGAGATCTCTGGAGCTGAGGTGGCGAGACTCCCAAGCGCAGTAAATCCCATAATACTCCAAAGCGGACCAGAGGGGTCGTTGGGTTTACGCAGATTTCAACTGATCTGCATAAATGTAGACTTCCAAAATTCTAACGTGTATGTTGATGCAATTTTGGATTCTTCTTTAAATGAGAGGCCAGATGATGAAAATAACGCTGATTTCACGAAATGCCGCAAAATCTTGCGTGATTTATGATAATTAACATATATGAATTACTGACACATCTCCGTTTGTGCAACCTATCGCGTTTGATGAGTAGGATGTTGGATGAGACTGGACTGCATCCAATATATTTTTTAATTCGCCCAGTGCTTAATGGGGCATTTTTATAAGGGACCAACATAGGCTGAACCTTATAATCATTTCGCATGCAAACAGTCGGTGATAATTACATCTATTATTGGTCACGTGACAATGCTGCGTCCAGATGAAGCTTTTGAGTTCCTGTGCAAAATACATCAGAGATGAAAAAACATTTACGCACAGACGCAGTGGTGTTTGTTTGCGTGCTGACACATCTTTATATACCAAACTAATTTAAATAAATAAATAAACCATCTTTAGTTTTAAACTTCCCAAACCACTGAAGTGAAATTCACCCTAAATTCCAAAATCACCAGATCTTATTTGAGAGTATTCCTCCGGCAGGCCAGCACAGGCCCTCAGATCGGATGCGTTCCTGTCACTAAAACACGCAGCGTGTGGAGAGGATGAAGAGCAGATGGCAAAAGCCAAGCGATTGCTGAGAGCTTTCACAATTGTTTGGTATAGGGCCTTCGGGGGTGTTTCCTGGTTGGACGGGGATCTTATGTCAGAAGTCAGTCATACAATGGTCGGCAGTGGCGCCGGAGACGCTGCGTGGTCCAGACTTGATTTTACCCGAACCAGCGCCCCGGTTAGGCAGCAGACGCACCAAACTAACCTCATTTATGTTTGCACCTATCCGTTCTGTGCAGATGAGAACGACATACTTAAGTGTGCATGCGATCATTATTAGCAGTGGTTTGATAACGTGTATATTTTTTATGTTTTAATTTTTAATTTTAGCAGCATTTTATTCCAACGTTTCAAACCAAAGTCAGTTAAATTCATTGGATAATATTGGCTGGAGTGTATTCCTCACGTGTCTTCGAAAGAGAGTCTCATTTTTATCTGAGCCAACAGAACAACAGTGCGCTTTAGGATTCGACCCTCGAGTTGTCGTGCGTATATGCGCTACAAGAACGACTGTAAAAACAGTTTTTGCAGTATATTATCAAAACATTTGCTTATGTGCACGCTGACCTTCACAACTCCACTGACTCTTTCTCCACTTCTCTTAGTGTTAATTTGGATAAAAGACACCTGCTCTGCTCTTTTGGCTTGGAGCACTGGCACAATCTCGGCGCAGATTGTGCCAACGAAACGCCATCATCATCGGCAACCATCATAGCCTCATTTAGATGTAAACAAGGATAATTGCAGCACCTCATTGGGTTTGAGTGCGTAAAGTGCAAATGCGTAAAATGTCTGAATAGAAATGAGGTTGTTTGGACAAACAGCTGCAGCACATTCTCTGGTGTGTTCGGTAGAAAAGATCCAGTCTGTGGCACACATCAGTCAAAGGCACGTTTCATCCAGAGATCAGTCAGTGGGCAGGCCTGTGGTCAAATGTTTATTCAGCTCAGCACATAATAGAGATATACATTCTCCGTGTGTGTGTGTGTGTGTGTGTGTGTGTGTGTGTGTGTGTGTGTGTGTGTGTGTGTGTGTGTGTGTGTGTGTGTGTGTGTGTGTGTGTGTGTGTGTGTGTGTGTGTGTGTGTGTGTGTGTGTGTGTGTGTGTGTGTAAAGAAGCGCATTCAGCTGCGTTGGGGATGGTTTTCCAGCGTGAATAAATGGCCCGTTTCTCCTCCAAAAAGGCTCCGCACTGCGCGCTCCCGATGATCGAGCTCTGCTAAAGAAAAGAAAAAAAAAGAAAAAGAAAAAAGAAAGCGGAGTAAAAGTCAAACAGCAGAAACAAAGAAAGTGTAAGCAGAAGTTTAATAAATTTTAAAAGCTGCTTATGAAGCGCGCGCTACATTAAAACTGACGTGGAAGATAAAGTATATATTTTATTCGATTAAGTCTGACGTCAGACGCTCTCGCGTGAGTGGATATTTTCTTTCAGAGTGCAGGTTAGGTGGGAGGGACTCGCTCTGCTCGGGGAGGTTAAACGCAGGAGATGGGTGGATCTCTCCTGCGCTAGTCGGAGTTTCGTGTGGACCACAGCCGCGGCAGGACGCGTATCTTTGTGGCGGAGCGCGCGCTGATTAAAAAAAGCTATAGAAGCTAAGAGATTTTGTCTTTTACAACCTCAAAGTTTGTTTTTTTATCGTGGAACTTCTCTCTGCATAAGTCCAGCCGCTCATGCTGTGGTGTGTGTCTGGGTGGATTTTTTTATTTAATTTTTTTTACTGCTCTGTGTGTGTGTGTTTGTGTGCACCCCATCAGGACGCGTCTCGTTTCTTATTTTTACGCATCCTTCTCTTTAAGGTGGGATGAATTTGGACAGAATCGCAGAGGCAGTCAGAGCGCCGCCGAGCCGGGACGTGGCGTTTCATTTACAGCGAACTTCAAACAGCAGCCGAGAAACTTTAGAGAACTCAAGCAGCGAGTCTTCAGAGGCAGAACTGGCAGGTACAGCGAGTGCTTTCAGCAACTCCGCTCTTTCTTCTGGGTCTTACCAAGCGTGCACGCGGCTGTCGGACAGAGACTTTTCTGACCGTTTAACTGTGCAGAAAATCTCGTGTTTGCGCAAATGCATCAAATGAGCAGATTTGCAGCGAATCTGAGCTCCGGTTAGTTTGATAGTCCATGTTTCATTTCTTGTAATGCTTGAACCAAAAACTTGGCAGGATTCCGGAATCTGTCACGGAAAATTGTGCGGAACCGCCTGCCTGCAGTCACCAAATGCATTCAAACAAACTGTAATATCCGGGTCACCCACTTATCCAGGACGCAAACCTCTCCACTTTGCTTTAGACACAGACTCTGTCTGCAGAAGAAATTATAAACTTGATTTATTTCTCGTTTTGTTGGGGGGAGGGGTGTGCGTAATTAATAATTCAGACAGTCTGTTGCGTTTGTTAAACAAGCAGGATGTAATTCTCTCATGACTGTGACCTTTGCACGCGCCCCTCTCAGTTTAATGAGGCATTTAAGACAAGAATACAAGATTACAGCTGGGAGATAAAGATCTCGTCGTAAAGGTCCATCAGTGGGGGAAAAAACAACCGGATCTGCTGTTTAGATGTCTTTTTTTCCACTATTAGACATTGCACAACTTTTTTTGATAGACAAATTTCAGTTACAATAGTTTAATTCCACTGTGAATTATGTATCCCAGTTGAGTTAGCTCAACTTTTTTTGGGTCTGTTCTGTAGACAAGGAGAGGAGCGCCGAGCACCGGAGCGATGACGGCAACGCGGACGACCCCAAGAAGAAGAAGCAGCGGCGGCAGCGGACTCACTTCACTAGCCAACAGCTGCAGGAGCTGGAGGCCACCTTCCAAAGGAACCGCTACCCGGACATGAGCACCAGAGAGGAGATCGCTGTTTGGACCAACCTAACCGAAGCTAGAGTTCGGGTAAGAGGCCATCAGCCGGCTGTGCGTAAAAAGCGCGCTCATCATTAATCATGCATTTAATTTAATTTAAAAAGCACGTTAAATATTTTTAAAGTGTCTCATTGAGCGAAAAATATTTCACAGAACCCGCTTTACTCACTAATATCACACAATTATAACTTTTAGAAAAATTGCAGTCAAAATCTCCTCGTGACGTTTTAGTCTCCACATGTTCCCGTTTGGCCTTTTGAGTTATTTTTTACATTTTTTTCCGCATTTACAAATTTATGTTGTCATTGCCTCAAAAACAGACTTCCTGATCAAATGTTGAGTAAAAATGTGACAAAATGCTTAATTAGATCGTTGTTGTAATTATCAGCAGCGGCGCATGCAGAAACCAAATCCTATCAGGACACGCGCTAAAACAACACTCAGATAAAATCCGGGGATTTTACCAAAACGATCCATCTGAAACTGTTTGGCTTTAAAATCCCAGCTGCTGTTGGTTTTAGGGATTAATTGCAATATTCATTGAATGACACCCTAAACCTTCATGGCTGCAGCTTAATAAAAAATAACAAGCAGGATGTTTCAGTATCACGATTCAATAAAGTGGAGTAAAAATTAATAAGAGCACGTTTCAATTTATTCTGAAATAATAAAATAATCAATTTTATTTCTCAAAGACTGGATTTAAATTAGATCAACGTTTAAGCTTTTTATTTACGTAACGAGTGTTGGGATTGTGATTTAGGTGCTTTTGTGTTTTCTTTTATCCCTGAAAACAAGAACGATAAAAGTTGTAAACCGGTGCTTGACAGTCGCGTGCTTGCAAAAATCCGCAGTGTCAAATTGCTAGAAAATGCCAAGAAGTCCCTAAAGCGAATGGAGAACAGAAAACGGTGTGTGTGTGTGTGTGTGTGTGTGTGTGTGTGTGTGTGTGTGTGTGTGTGTGTGTGTGTGTGTGTGTGTGTGTGTGTGTGTGTGTGTGTGTGTGTGTGTGTGTGTGTGTGTGTGTGTGTGTGTGTGTGTGTGTTGAATGTATTCAGAAAACTAGAATTTCATCACTGAAACTATTTTAAAATGACGTAAATGATTAAAATTCAATAATGAAGATAATTTTAAAATTATTATTATTTATATTATTATTATTAGAGACAAATTTTGCTGTTGAAACTTTTGCGTAACCAAATAAAAGATTGCGAGTAAAGAAGCTTTAAACGGTGAACAACTCTTGGCTTTTCAATAAATGAATAAAAATGTAACGATTGTTTTTGTTGATGATTTTATTTAATTAGTTTGTTTTCTTTTTGTTTTGCAAAATGTAGGTTAAAAACTATAAATACTCTAAAACGTGATAGTGGGTAATACTTGCGTTCACGGTCCTCATGGAGCTCCAATTTTCTAATTCGGGCAAATACTCATTTTCTGACTCTTGAGACCAATTAATCTGATCAGGGTCTTACCACCACACACACTAGAAAGTAAAATATCAGCGCTCTGTGAACGAATCTCTCTGGTTTCCTGCGTGAAACACAGAACACTGGAATATTTTAGGGAGGGGTTGTGACCATGAGGCGTTCACGTGCCCCCTGTGCTAAAGGACGTGTGTACCTTACAGGTGTGGTTCAAAAACCGCCGGGCCAAGTGGAGGAAGCGGGAGCGGAATCAGCAGATGGACCTGTGTAAGAACAGCTACCTGCCCCAGTTCAGCGGACTCATGCAGCCCTACGACGACATGTACCCAGCGGCTTACACCTACAACAACTGGACCAACAAGGGCCTGACCCCGGCGCCGCTCTCCACTAAGAACTTCACCTTCTTCAACTCCATGAGCCCCCTCACGTCCCAGTCCATGTTCTCCGCACCCAACTCCATCTCCTCCATGACTATGGCTTCCGGGATGGGCCACTCCGCCGTGCCGGGCATGCCGGCTCCGGGTCTCAACAACATCAGCAACCTGAACGGGATCGGCACGTCTGGCATCAACTCAGCCATGTCGTCCTCCGCGTGTCCGTACGGGCCTCCCGGCTCGCCGTACAGTGTTTACCGGGACACTTGTAACTCCAGCCTGGCCACGTTAAGACTCAAGTCCAAACAGCACCCCACGTTTGGATACAGCGGCCTGCAGAGCCCCGGATCCAGCCTGAACGCCTGTCAGTACAACAGCTGACGGGACGCGTCTGACGTCTGAACAGAGCCCAGGTCAAAGGTCACCTGCGGATGGGAGCAAAAAAAGACAACTAAACTGGATTAGTTGCATTTATTTTCGCAAGGGGGAAGAAGAAATGGATCATGCGGGTTACATGTTTACGGACTTGCACAGCAATGAAACCATCCCGTTTTTTGGGGATTTTTATCAAAACGATGAAGAGTTACATTGCTGCATTGTACATGTGAAATGTAAATATGTAAACATGTCTAACATGAAACAAGGGGACTTTTATTTTCCTTTTCATTTTGTTGTCCTTCATTTGGAAGACTGGGAGGTCTGGACCCAAATAAGACTTTAAAAAAACAAAACAAAAACAAAATCAAAACAAAAAAAAAGCGATAAAACAAAAGAGGAGATCTTGTTATTTGTACATATTTTATACAGCTTCTGTGTGCTTCTGCTTTATCAACATGCTGGGTGCCCCCATACCCACTCTACTCATTGACGCGCTTCTTTGCTTTAATAATAATAATAATGATATCAATAAACCGCATGTTTAACTTGAATTGCTCATGTAAAAAGGTTCTTTAAACTGTATAAAAAGTGATTAAAAGTTTTCATGTGTTTATTGTAACATGTTTAAATAAATTCCAGGAAAAGAGGTTTATTCAAGGTGTTTTAGAAGTTTTTGAAAGGGGGGGGGGGGGGGGTCAACAAAGAAGAGGAAAAATAAAGGGATCCGCTGTTTGAATAAACATATTTAATTTCTTTCAATATGGTTATTTTCACGCATCTGCTAATCTTATAAAAACTCATTCCAAGCGTTCTCTTTTTGTCTATTAAGATATAAAAACATGAAAAACAATCAGCACATCCATCCGTTTTCTGAGCCCGCTTGTGGGGTTGGGCTGGTGCCTATCTCTAGAGGTCAATGGGCAACCAGGCGGGGTACACCCTGGACAGAGAGCTAGTCCATTGCAGGGCAACACAGAGACACACAGGACAAACAATCATGCACACACACTCACACCTAAGGGCAATTTAGACCAATTAACCTAACAGTCATGTTTTTGGACTGTGGTAGGAAGCTGGAGTACCAGGAGAGAACCCACGCATGCACAGGGAGAACATGCAAACTCCATGCAGAAAGATCCCAGGCCGGGAAGCGAACCCAGGACCTTCTCGCTGCAAGGCAACAGCTCTAACTGCGCCACTGCGCAGCCCCAAAAAGAGCATTTTAAAAGAGAAAGAAAATCGATCACACAAAATACAAAAACCGAACTAAAGTGAGAAAGGACAGGCACACAACACTTTCTGCTTTCTGATATTTTATGATTTTAAGAGCTGCTCTAATCCCGAGCCTCTCCATATCAGTTTAAAGACACAATCATCGTTACAGCTGTGAACTAATATCATCCTAATGGTGAGTAATATAGATATGAGGATTTCTGCAGGTGTCACAAAACAAGATATGATGCGACTGAATACACTCGCTGCGTCTGAGTCCGATGTGGAGACGCGGAGGGGGAAAATTCATCACTTAGATTTGTTTGCAGTCATTTTCATTAGTTGCAGACATGTTTATCTGCAGGCAGTAGGAAAATATTGCAGCACTCACCTTTTTATTTTTTAAATAGCTAGACTATAAACATGATGTTCAATTAATTTGTGACATGACCTCCCAATAAACGTTTGCATCCGGAAGTTACAGTTTGGGGGGAAGATCTGCATGTGGCTTTTTACGCATGTGAAATAATGTATTTTACTGTCTATTGTTAAATTTTATTTAACTATATTTGCTCGGAAAGACTCAGTCTGAACCCAGAATACCAGTTTGTTCTGCAGAACAAACTGGTATTTTTATTTAAGGAACTGTAATTATTTCTCTTTTTTAAAACGTAGAATTTACTTCTTAAATAGTCTCTACATGAAGTGGAAAGTTCTGACTGATCGTTCGAGTTTTTAACTCTTTGATGTTGTCCCAAAAAGATTCGTTTGGTGCTACAAGGGTTAAAATATAATAATAATAATAGCCTAAATCGTATTATGTGTAACTTTATTTTAAAAACGTGTTCATGTTTTTAAAATTAATTAGTTTAGTTGGGTGCAATTATTATTATTATTATTATTATTATTATTATTATTATTGTTATTATTATCATCATCATCATCATCATCATCATTATTATTATTATCATTATTATTGTGTTTTCCTGAAGTTACACAAATCATAGACAAATCTTAACTTAATCTGAATGTTCTCTGGAACCAAAAAGTTTAATAGTGCCATAATTCTTCCGCGCATGCGCGTGGGCCTCATGTTCATTACGTTATTCATACTCGGCCAACCAGAACCTTTAAAGTTTCATTCCGATGTATTTCTGGACCCAACCGGCCTGTCGCAAAGCTCTGCTCTCGTCGAGGTTTTCTCATGACGTGACAAGCAGCGCGTGCAGTGATGAATTCTTCTCCTGTGCGCGCACCTCGCGAGCGCGAGCAGAGAGAGCTTGGTGAGGGGCGTGCGCGCGCTGGCTGAAACTGCAGCAATCACATTTGATCTGTAGAATCTTTTACGGGATGACGAATTGCACGCGAGGCTCGTGTACCGATTTGAAACAAAAACAAAGCGTCACAAACGCTCGTAAACGTGATAAAGCAGACGTGAACGCGCCTGCATAGACCCTGCAGGGCAAAGTTCCGCGCGCCGATTTATGGCTGGTAAACATTTGAGCTAGTGTTTCTGTGGTTTGGAAACCCCCTCTGTCTCAGAATAGAATAGAATAGAATAGAATAGAATAGAATAGAATAGAATAGAGACATGCTAGTAAATACAGCACAACTGATCAATAATCATACGAATAAACAGTTTTTAAGCATAAAACAATTTTAAATGATAATGTTAAAAATTGCTTCAGTCAGATTGAATGTTAAAAGTTGAGTTTAACTCCTGCACAACTGATCTCTGATGACTCAGGCCAGAAAGGCTGCAGGCAAAAACTGTTCACTTCTCGAGAAAGAATGAAAGAAAACGACACAAGACTTCATGATATCTGTAACCTTCTCTTTTCAGTTTGTACAATTAAAGAGTTTAAATTGCATCAGTGCTCTCCTCCTCTGTTCCAGGAGGAGACATATTCTCTGGGGTTTATGAGATGAACATAGTTGTGATATACTGGGAAGAAACATGTTTGTGTTTATTCTTTACCTCACAGTGCTTTGAAGTTAATGATGGCAGCTGCTAATCAGGAATGTTGCTCTGAGTTTTCCATCGTAAACTCCAGCTCAGTAAATTGTGATGATCACATTTTAAAACATTTATATTGAATAAAACCTATGGGTTTGTTAAATATCGTTGTTGACCCAGAATGCATTGATTGGACCAAATGCAGTCAGGATGAGTTCGGAAAATGTGATGAAATATTGAGTTATTTGGTTTATTCTGTGTGGAGTTCTTTGCAGAGTAATTACTGGAAAATGCAGAGAGAAGGTCTCATGAGTGTAACAGGTCCAGTCATTAATAAAATACTTGGTTTACTGCTAATTAATTAAAGAATTCACCAGAAGAACAAGAAACCATAAAAAATTGAAAACAGATTTCCTCATTTATTTTTTACAAAAAGGTAAATTTCAGTTGATTTTTATTTGATTACCATAATTATGTCACAGAGGAAAGTGGTGCAGGTCTCTTGCAGCTGAATAATGTTGTTTTATCATCAGAAACCCAAATGCACACATTTACACTAAAAGACAACAGTGTGGCCTGGAAAGAAACATAACCTAAATGTCTCTTATGTTTATTCTAACAATTTAATGAGCTTTAATGAACTCAAAAAGAGTTATTTTCTCTCAAAGTTGTCATATTTTTCCCTCTGACATGTGCACCTCTGAGAAAACCCTTGTTAACTAAACAAGATCTGCTCAAACAAAGGGCCCTCCCTCAGGAAGCTGTTTGCGTTTGGTTTCCAGCTCCTGCCAAATCCATGCAGCAGCTCACGTGATCCTGAAGCTGAACTGCAGCTGCTGCATTTCTGTAAACTTTGGTTTCAAACTTTATCCAGAAGCAAAATCTTGAGTCCAAAAAGCAAAACCGGTCAGTCACAATGAGCATTTTCCCCTTGCTGCAGCAGATGGTTGGAACATAGATCTCAGACGTGTTCTCACGGATGAACTTCTAGAGAAGTGTAAAATTTACTGTCAAAAATTGTGATAAATTAAAAAAAAACTGTTCTGCACATCTTTGAGTATAACTCAAAACACGACATAAAATAAATAAATTAGATTAGGGAAATAAATAACCAAACTGTTAAATAATGTTATGTTTAACCCTCCCACTGTCTTTATGGGTGACCCCGCAAGGAAAGTTGACCATTGAGCAGGATTGATGGTTTATCCCTTGAGGTCCACGTGGCAGGGGTGAGGTGGTGCTCACTCCTCACCCCTGCCACATGGACCCAAGGGATAAACCATCAACCAGTGCTCAATGGTCAACTTTCCCAGTGGGGTCACACCCATTAGGACAGCGGAGGGTTAAAACATGAGACCAGACATCAGTCCTCCTACTAAGCAAGAATGCAGCAAAAGTGGAGAGGAAAACTCCCTTTTAAGAGAAAGAAACTTGAAGCCAAACCTGGTTCATATGAGCGCCCCATTGAACGTTGGAGAGCGTAATAGCGTCACCGCCATATTGGGTGGGTTCCTCACTCTCCAAACTCAACTGGAATCAACACAGAGTGAGCAATTGTCCCTGTTTTTGTGCAGCTCTGGCTTGTAACAATCGCTGTACTATTGAACACAGATCGCATGGGATTACTATTGAATTATCTATTGAAATTTTCCATTTTCATTTAATTTACTTAATTTAATCATATTTATAGTTTTATTATCATGCCAAACCATACGTCTGACTGAAAGCCTAGTAAAATGTGCTTTTTTTATTTGGGTAAACTAGCTCCTCAGTAGAAATAAATACACTGGGTGTGAATGGGAATCCATCCAAGTAGACAGCCCACTGCTACGCCATCTATAGGCAGCACCAGTCCACGGGGTGTCTGTGATATGAGCAGCCATCCGCCACGACTCGCTGGGGGTTTGAGGGGAGGAGGAGAAGAAAGAGAAGAAGTAGTACAAGAACAAGAAGAACAAGTATTTGCCACTTCAAACCCAAATACAACATAATTACATGCATCATAAGATAATGACAAGATGACATCCAGGACTGTGCCTCTGTGCAGCAGTAATTATGACAATGCTGACACAAGACAATCTCTGAGGGATTAGCTGAGACTTGATCGAAGGAATGCTGTGGGTGGCTGAACAAGGAAAGATGACACAGAAAAGGATCTGACTCCTCACATGGGATTTATTTAGAAATCGCATCACTAACTTACAGTGTGGGATGAGTGCTGGGTTACTTCGGGAAAGGCGAGTTTTAAGAGAGATTCAAAATGTTTTTGGAAACATGTTTGTTAGCACCGTCATAAAACTACAAAAAAAAGGAGAGTGGAACAATAAAATAAAAGATACATATAAAAAGAATCTGAATGAAATGACAATCTCAAATGAAAAGACTTTTGCAGTGATGGACACATGCAAACACAGTCACAATACAAAATGTGTCGTTTGTTCAGGTTATAATTTGTGTTGGATTATGTAATAAAATGACCATGGTGTTT